CACGAAAGTGAAGCAAAGACATGGCAGCAGGAGCAGGAAGCTGAGGACTCACATTCTGAGCCAAAAGCACCAAATAGAAAGTGGACTCCAAAGTGAGTAAGTCTTTAAAATCCCAAGGCCTCCCTCCAGTGACATGCTTCTTTCAACAGGCCTTAACTCCTAAGCTTCCTCAAACAGTGTCACCAACTGGGGACCAAGCGTTCAAATGTCTGAGACTATAGGAGACATTTCTCATTTAAAGCACCACAATCATCAAGAAACTACAATATTCAATGGTTTAAAACATAAACACATTATTCTATGGTTCTGGAGATTAGATGTACAAAATGGGTCTTAGGAGACAACAATCATTGTGCCATCAGGGTCACATTCTTTCTAAAGGTTCTAAGTGGCAATCTGCTCCTTGTTCTCTCTGCCTTCCTCTCCATCTTCAAATTATCACAAGGTCAGCGCTTCCATCATTGTATTTCCTGCTCTGTTGCTGAAGGACTCCGAACTCATTCAATGACAAGGCCACTGTAATTGCTGTGCTCTACCCACTTACATCAATACCCTTTCGTTCTCAAATGAGCAAAGTCCCCTTTGCCATGTAAAATATGGTATTCATAGGATCTGCCCTAGGGATGCAGAAGGAACATCTTTGGATAGACCCAATATTTTGTCTATCACACCTTGAAAATATCAAGCTATGAAACTACACTTAAAGAATTTTTTCTAATATAAAAATAAATTTCTTCCGTCCTCCCATATTTTATGAGCATCGATTTATGTTTAAATGAGATTGTGAACTTGATATTTTTCTCACTAACTTAATGAATTAAGCTGTCAGTCACAGGAGGGTAAGGAAGATATCCAGTGTCATCTCTTTCCAGTGCTGATGCAGGAAGCTGGCTTTGGTGGCTATGGGAGCTCTGCTTTAAGTGATGGGAATTAGCCCACAAAACAGAGAGTGAAGCTGTGGACCATAGATAGCATTTGAGCTCTCAGACAACAATCCACAGAGAGCATATTTCTATCCAGGATTCCCTTTGCAGAGTGGAGAAGATTCATTGACTCTGAGCCAAGAAAAAGTAGCTCTGCCCTCACTCAAGGGAGAGAACTATTGGCCAGGGGTAGCAGGGTTCTAAGACAAGAGAGGAGAGAAAGTGGTTTCAATGCAGCTGAGTTAGAATTGTCAGATTCACACCTCTTTATCATTAAGCATCTTATTATAAACGATAGTCAGTGAGAAACTCCTTTGTTGTGATGAAATCAGCTTCACATGGGCTACAAGTAGATCTGCGTACAAGCAGAGCTCATGGGTGATAGATGCTCTTTAATGCCTCCGTACCCCCATACTTGCAACGACTCCTCCAAAATTGCAGCTGGGGCTTCCTGGACCACATGTTGCTTTTTATAGTGGAACTCAAATCAAGTCACCCTGTCCAAGGTCAGATGACTGAAAATACTAGAATTTAACGGTGTCTGAGAAGAACTCTTAGCCAACGAATCTTGGGAATTGATTTGCCAATTCCCCAGCACCTTCATTCCCTGTTGGGAATTTAAGGAAGTTTGTATTTTGCTGTAGTTCTCAGTTTCTCATGGGATTAAGCCCTAGCTGCTCACTGTGATACTGTATTGGCCTCCTGACCAGCTGTTTTACCTCCACTGTTTCAAACTAATATGTCCTCCTGTGTCTTCTAGGTAAACCAAGATAAATTTCACCTTAGCATATACACATGGCATCAAAACATTTGGAATTAGAGAGATTAAGGAAAGTGAACGATCAAATTTCAAAACAAGATCATATAAAGAAAAGCAGCTCAAATTTATCTGAAATTGAGAAGCTTTTTTTTTTTCATTTGGTTCTATTTTAGTCTTGTTTTTTGTTTGTTTGGGGATATAAGGCTTTCTGTGCTTACTGTGTGAGAAAGTCGTGGGGAAACAAGAATGAACTAGACACTTCAGTTGTAAACCAAAATGGTCTTAGAAAATGTTATCTTAAAAAAATTAAATTTGCACACACAGGCACACACACATACACACTCACATGTATATGCACATGTGGCAGTCAAAAGACAACTTACAGGAGCATCTCTCTCTTTCCACCATGTGTATCCCTAGTATTGATGGTGTTGAACTCAGGTTCATTAGGCTAGGCAGCAAATGCCTTTACCTGTTGAGCCCATCTCAACAGCCCCAGGAAAGGAATCTTTAAAACTGACCCTTGAAGGAGATGAGGAAATGGTTCAGTGTGTTGGATACTTGCCTTGCAATCCTGAGGATTAGAGATCAGATCTCCAGGACACACTTAAAGCTGGGCAGGCATGGCAGCTGTCTATAATATCAGCACTTGGAAGGCAGAGACAGGGGACCCCCAGAACAAGCTGGCTAGCAAGACAAGCCAGAATAGATTATCTCCAGGAAGTTCAGGGAGAGATCATGCCTCCGTATATAATGTGGAGAATAAGACAGGTAAGATACAAGATGTCAACTTTGGGCCTCCAGAAACAAGCACCCCCATCACAAACACATGGCAGGGGGGTGGGGATATAATTAACCTTAGAAGCTTGAAACTGGCTAACTCAAACAGAATTGCTCCTATTGGTTAGACCATGTGTATGCTATGCTATCAGAATTGCCATGACTCTTACCTGGGGTAACCTGGAATGGGGTGTAGCTGGAAGAGGATGCAGTGGTTTGTGTTATCTCTCTGGCTCCTGAGAAAGACAGTGGCAGTGGTCATTGGATGATTGTGGAATTCCCAAGGGCTGTCAGTGTCACCCATGAGAAGAAAGAAGGAAATGACGGAATAAAGTGCTCTGAATAGCAACTCAGGGAAAGAAAGAAAGCCAGCAGGTTTGAAGGACAACATAAAAAGAGACTCTCATTTTCTGCAGGTGAGAGATCAGACTGGAAACTAGTGAGAGGAAAGAGTGGGGACATCTGATGTGACAGAGAAAAACAGCTACCTCTTGCTGCTTAAGAACTGAGCAGAAGTTTGACCCAAGAAAAGGCCTCTAAAGATGACCATACCACTGTCCTCAAAGTCTACCCCATGGTCTTATAACCAAGGTCAAATTTCAACTTGGCTTCATGAGGACAGTACCAACTCTGTATCATGAAATACAAATTATTCAATGAAGGCATTTCACAACCAAGTGAACAGATTCCTGTGGAACTAATGTGCATGTCTGGAAATGGGTCTTAAGACATGTACCTTTGGGTAAGGGAAGGGAGCAACATATAGTGAAGGAAAATTTGCTGCTATGAAGGCTCTGACTACATAGAGAATAATAGAAATTGGACTTTCCCATCTTCTGCCCTTGAACCCATGGGTGGCTTTCAACTGACATTTTAAAGTTGGGAAACAAATGTCCCCACTCACCCCACTTAGGTGGGCCATCTCTGATGATGAACTTTACATATTTTCTAGACTTTATCCACAGAGGTCTTAACCTTGTCACAAAGGATGATGGGTGGCTTGTCAGATTGTGTTGGATGTTTTGTTTTCCACCTAGTGGAAGTTCTGGAACCAAAATCTTTGTCTGATGGCTTGCTTGCAGGAAAACCTAAACCAAGATATGGAGATGAAAATCTCAAAACTAAGACTTAAGAGCATCCTTTATCATTACCAAAAGTGAAACAGCAAAGGAATACACTAGTATCTGATTAACAACTTGAGAATCTTAATACTTAAGGTGACTAGCAGTTCACCTGCAAATTTTAGGACATAGTCTGAACTTTAGTAGCTATGTTAAATATTGGCTGAATCAATGACTACAAAACAAATAACATTAACTCTAACTTCTTTCATATCTCACAGGGTGGCAAACTTTGCCTGTAAAATGATGAATGATAAATAGCTGAGATTTCACAGGGAACTCAATGTCGGTTGTAACTATTTATCTCTGTTGCTGTGTAAAAGCAGCTGAGGACTATATACAATGAACATAGATGCATTTCAATAAAACTTTGTTTGTAACCTTATGCCAGGCCACAGGGCATAGTTTACTAATTCCTGGTATAATCAAGTTGGTTTCACTACCAAGTAAGTTGGCATCCAGAAAAGTTCAGGTGTCCCTGATGACTATTTTGGTATTTTAAAATTTATATTATTTAAGATGCTTTGCTGGAAGCTTCACTGATCAATTGAGTGACTCTACAGTACACAAATTATGAAGAAATAAATTGTTACACAATAAACAGCAAAGGCCGATGCGATGCCACAGTTGGCTTGAGAGGAGAGTGAGTCAGTGGCCCTCTCTAAAATGCAGTTTCAACTTCTAAGTTTTCAGTTATAAGCAGTTAAATGTGCTCTAAAAACATTGAATAGAAAATTCGAGAAATAAACACCAGATAAGTTTCAAATAACTTTGTAAAGATGAATTATGTTTTATCACTGTTGTTGGTATCTTAAACCTAATTTAAAAAAAACTATTTTTAAAGGATATATATATATATATATATATATATATATATATATATATATATATATATATATATATATATGAAGCCATGGCTTATATTTACCTATACACGCACATGCATACACACATATATATGTATGCAAATTTAGTTCAGCGATATATTGCCATGGTAAAAGCGGAAGATCACTATATACATGTACCTTAAAAGTGGACAGCAAAATTAAGGAGGAGAAATATAAGAAGATGAAGCAGTCAAAAAGGCAGATGTGGTGTTCTCATTCCTATTAGAAAAATCCTAGATTCCCTCTTGAATATCCAGTTTCTCAGGCATACAGACCAAAGTCCTGAAAAAAGTCCGTTAAAATTTAAATAGCCCCAAGATTCTAGCCTGGAGCGTGCTGTGTGGTCGCCGTTCCCCAAGTGGTATTAGGCCCAGAAGTCCCTTCGCTCAGTGCGGGATACAAAGGAGGGCCATGGACATGTTTTCGAGACGCCAGATTTGCTGACAATCAAATCTCTCCCAGCTTCTGATAAAGACAGCTCTCAGGACCCACAAAGATCTGTGGGGACCCTGAGGGAGAGTCAACATATATGGCCAAAAAAACTGCCAAGAAGGAAGTGACAGGCAGGAACTTGCATCAAAGCGCCGAAGAGGAGGGAACATTCTCACTGGCCAGTCAGGATGTCCTGAGGAATAGAACCATAAAGAGAGCCAAGCGGAGAAACACCAGACTCCAGCCCGATGACGGAGGAACTTCCAAAGGGATTAAAGGTCTGGCTGTGCCTTCAGGAGGAGGAGAATTTAGCAGTGGCCCTGGAGAGGAGCCCCGGGAAGGACTATCAACCAGAAAGAACACAGCCAGGGCTGCAGCAGAGCCCAAGGCAGTCCTGGGTTCTGTTACAGCGAATGTCCCCACCTCTTCGGACCATGAACAGATCTCAGATCCCCAGACTAACGGCCACAGTCAGTATCCTGCCTTCTCCGGCCTGGCTTTCAGTCAAGCCTACGCTGGGAGTGTCTACCACAGGCAGTTGACTGGCCTGAACTGCTCTGTCCGGGACTGGATAGTGAAGCATGTGAACGCAAACCCGTTCTGTGACCTGACGCCTGTGTTTAAACAGTATGAGAAATACTTGGTTGCCATCGAGAAGCAGCTCCATAGCAGCTGCGGCTGTCTTTTCGAAAGAGATCCCAACAGGGGCTGGGTTGGGACACAGCCTCCTTCCCGAGATGTTGCGGCTGATCTACAGCCAGAGTCAGTCACGTCTGAAAAGACGGAGTTTATAGCTGAGAAGAAAGCGGACCCATCCCAAGGAGCAACAAGTGCCTCGTGTAACTTTGGCAAGAACACGACTGAAAGCCAAGTTTGGGTTTCCTTAAGCTCTGGTCCCATGAATGGAGTTTCGTCATCTACCAGAAGCTCCAGTTTAACAGGTAAAGGTACCACCCAGAGGAAACCAGTATCTGCAAACGCCCTGGACAGTCCAGCACAAGGCAGCAGTGATGAATACAAAGACAGAAGGGATGAGCCACCCATGGCGGTCCTCGTGGAAGAGGAGGAGGAGGAGGATGTTTTCTACTCCAAAAGATGTAAACTATTGTACAAGAAAGGCAGTGAATTTAAAGAAAAAGGTGTGGGCATACTGCATTTAAAAGCCACGGCCAACCAGAAGACGCGGCTCTTAGTGCATGATATCAAGGTAGGCAGCGTACTCCTGAATGTGGTGATCTCTGCCAATACGCCATGTACCCGGATGGGGAAGAATAACGTCCTCATTGTCTGTGTGCCGGATCCACCGCTTGATAAGAAGAATGCCGCCATCGAGGTCAGCATGCTAATTCGGGTGAAAACAAGCAAGGATGCAGATGAGCTGCACAAAATGTTACTGCAGAGAAAGGGTGCTTGAACACACAAATTCCACCGCGGAGCTTGCCAACTTCCTGCTTTTCGCTCTGCCCCCAAAATGTAGTTTTTCATCTGTCTTTGCTTATGACACCCTAAGAATTTCCATATAATAGAAATTTTGTGAGGAAAATTAAGGCCAACCAATACTTCAGATGAGTGTGGAGAAAGTGTCCTCCCTTATTAAGAGTCGCTTAACACACAGAATACTTTTGAATAAAAAGGTTTTGGAATTTTTTTTGATATTCATTTACTGAGTAAATTAAGTATAGGTGATTTCTTGGAAAAAAAATAAGTAGCCCATCTAGAAGAGGAGTGGCATTTTAAACAATTTAGACTAAGATCCTCCTTAACTTGGTCACCTAGAAAATTTCCTACTAATAGTGCTCACCTTCTTCCACACCACACTGTGTCTGTTTTCATTCTCATCCTATCTGCAGTGGCCATCTCTGCTAAAAATGTCAGAGGCAATGGCCTAGACCAGGAATGGCTACTGCAGGGTGCTGGATAACATATACCAAACCCTTTAGAACAGTGGCTCTCAATCTCCCTAATGCTGCAATCCTTTAACACAGTTCCTCATGTTGTGATAACCCCAACCACAAAATTATTTTCGTTACTACTTCATAACTTTGCTACAGTTATGAATCATGACGTAAATATTTATGTTTTCTGATGGTATTAGGAGACCCCTGTGGTCTCCAAAGAGGTTGTGACCCACAGGTTGAGAACCATTGCTCTGATTCTGATTCCATTCCATCAATATACATCTACTCTGCCTCTCTTTTACCATTCTGTATCTCCAAGGAGAAAATAAGCTGTGGATGATGCTGGTGACATAAATATCTCCTGTCCAAATCAAGGCAAATGGTTTCTGCTCATGAAACAAAAGTGAGTATCCCTGATGGAGCGTCATTCTTTGTCCAATTCTCATTCAAACAAACTGTAAAATATTATTATCAAACTAGAAGTGGAATCAAATCTTTGAGAGTCATTTATCATCTTAGTGAGTCATGACTCATCTTTTCAAAATTAGCCATTAACAGTTGACCAACATCCAAAAGTGAACCAGATAGGAAAAACTGTATGGTTCAATATTGTGTCAAGCACACTGTGGGAATTATAGATGAATAATTGATCAAACAGATTGACAAGTAAGATGAATGGGTTTGACCAAACAAGATATGAAGCCAGGAGATAAAGCTGGCTAGAGTACAACTTTCAAATATGCCTTATAAGAGTGCACTGGTTGGGAACTGTGCAAGACCTCCTGATCAAAACCCCATGTCTTGGTTGTACTGTGAGTCTTCTCAGAGGATACTCTTCTTTAATCATCACAAAGCTTCCATGTGGGCTGCAGGAGGGTGGAAACGCTTCATAAGAGCATTAGAAGCCTCACAGTAGCCATGGGAACCTGCTGATGGTCAGGTGAAAGCTGGCTGTCAAAAGAGGAGTCATTAAAAAACGACTTTTGGCAGAAGTAGCCTATTGGAACGTACTTCATCCTTTGACATTTCCACAAATGTATACAGATCTTTGTCACTTTTATACCCCTTTACCCTGTTATCCCACTCCATCTTCTGCTGAAACCTTTTCTTCTTCCCCCTTGTACTTTGATGGCTTGTGGTGGGGCGGGGGCAGTGAGTGTGTGTCACTGAGTTTAATTATAGTTGCTTGGATGAGCATGGGGGCTAATTTACTAGACTGTGGACAACTTATCAGTGGCTATACCACTGAAGAAAATGACAACCCTCCCCCAGAACTCATTAACTGCCTATAGTTCCTAGATGAGGGGTGGGGCCTCAGAAGTCCCTCCCATTGCATGATGAAATGGTGATAGGCCCAATCTGGTATAGGTATGGTGCAAGTGAACACAGTTATGGTAAATCCATGAGCCTCAGAGCAGGCAATAAAAACATCCTGTTTAGGGGTAGTCACCCCATAGTTACTTAATGTTCACATTCTGACCGTTTCTGAGTCTGCCCTCTGCAAAAGGAATTTCTCTGGCCAATGCTGAGAGCAGTGCTAGAGGAGACAGGAAGCATGAAGAGCCTGGGGAAGAATTATACACAGCAATCCTCTAGGTATGGCACAACCACTGAAACCATGATCCCAGGGGAGGCGAAGTTATCAGTACTGAGGCTGTAAAAGAAAATTAGTCATGGATGGGAGAGAGAATCATGGGGTCCTAGTCCTCCATGCTAAGCTACTGGCAATGAACAGATTCTGGAAAAAGGAACTCATTGCCTTAGTTGTACACCAAACTCCAATGAACAGTTGCAAACCAATGATCACATGTATTATCCTGATTAAACTCAGTCTGTCACAAAACAAAACTAGCAAATATGAAAATATGGGAAGGAAACTTAGAGAGAGGATAGAGGGTTGACATGACTGAGAGAGAGAGAGATAAAAAAAGGGTAGGGATGAGAGTAATTCAAATGTGTTACATACTTACATCAAATTGCCAAAGAGCGAATTTAGAAGGCAGTTTGACACTGTCCATTTAGCAGAGCATTAGTAGTAGGTTCTCCCCCAGGGCCTATGACCTCCCTAGCCACCAGCTAGACCTGTTTTTTTTTAATTAAAAATTCTCTTGCAAGTATATCTGTCAAGTTGAAAGATCTCCATATTTAGAAATAAGAGAAAGAGGTCATGGTGAGATTTTGATGTGAAAGAGCTATTAGTAATTGCTCCAGTGTGGTGAAATTGAGAAGAGAGAGCATTTGAATGGGGGTATTCCACTTCAAAGCCATGCTGTCATAATATTGATGGTTCAATAGTTAGGAATAACAGTTTCGCAGGCTTTCCACTGCCAGACACCTCTGTCATTTATAGAGAAAAGGCTTCTTTAAATCTCAACAAAGACCAGCATTTGGGGGGGCTGTCCTCTGTTAGCTCCAATTGTCCTGGATTGATAGAAAGATATGGAATGCAAAGGACACCACTCCTATTGTCAAAACAATTCTGCAATGTTTAAATTTGATTTAGGAGAAAATAAATTACACAGTTTTCACCAACTAGGCACCCGACAAGAGTTTTGTTCAATGATAGTGCCATTCATAAAAAGAAAGAAAAAAAATTACCCTCCATGACTGCGTGTACTTATCTTGACAAAATATTTCCATCCATCTTTTCAAAGCCTGTGAGCCAGAAAAATTATGATGATAATTTATAAATCATGTGTGATATTATGACATACACTGTGTCAAATATTAGAGGTTAAGAGTTCAGTAGTGGCATGTCTAATTTAGGGGTTCAGTCTGGCATTAATGCCAGTTTAAAGCAAATAAATCTTGCCACAGAGGCTAGCATCATTGGCTTCTACACATGGCATGCCAATAGCTCCCTCTTCCATGGTTAGACCAACCTGCAAAGCCTCTAGAATTGTCAAATGGCCCTTTGGTTCAAACCCTACAGTTCTTAAAAGTTACTCAGATGTTTTAGTAAATAACTGTACCAGATCTGAATCTTAAAGAGCTAGGAAATGATCCTGTAGTTTTCGCTCCAAAATAATTCCAGTGGATTTTCAGTAAAGACAAGAGAGAAGAGAAAGGAAATCTAAGTAAGTGTAATATAAACATTGTTTCAATTTTAAATGTGCCAGATATTATTTCAAGCCGTATGTGTAGATTAAACTATGCAATCATTCAAATGACCCTATGGAGTAGGAGCATTCATCACCTTCATTTCATAGGTGAGAAACATAATGGTGAGATGATAAACATTTTGCATGAAGTTTCTACAGAGAAAACCCTTCAACCCCAAGTTCAAAAGTAGGCAGGGTTGTACAGAGCATATTTCATGCCTCTCTCTACTGTGTCTTGAGAAGTAAAAGCCCTTTTAGCTAATGGTATACAGGTGTAGAGGAAGGTACATTGGCTTTTGAGCAAAATAATGAGCAACCTTTGATATTTCATGAATTTTCACTGAATCAGGGTCACATCCACATACAGATATACTGTCTATAGCTGTTTTCATGCTACAAGGCCACACTGAATAGAATTAACTTATTATAAGGCCTGTAAAGAAACAATTGCTATTCTTATTTTTTAATGTGTGTATGTTATAAGCCTGTGTGTGCACCTAGATGTGCTAGTATACTCATCCACACATGTGCATGTAGAGGCTAGAGGTTGACCAGGTGTCTTTTTCTATCCATCTTCTTAGTATTTGAGACAGGGTCTCTCATTGAACCTAGAGTTTATTGTTTCAGCTGTCCTAACTGAACAGTAACCCCTGGGAATCTACCTATCTCTGTTTACCAGCTTTTACATATGTGCTGGCATCCAAACTCCCCACTGAACCATCTGTCTAGCTCCCAAATAATTATGAATTGACCTTTTACAGAGTCTGTCACTGATTTAGACCTTGTCCCAGAAGCGGAAAAGCTGTTCCCTCCAGTGGTTACAGAAAGAGGCAGGACTTGAATCTAGGTCAGTTCCTTTCCCAGGTTCTCACACAGAGGACTAGCTCTAATGATAACACAAACGGCCATGAGCAGAGAGCTAGAACTTTCTGTGGGCCATTCTGGAAAGCATTTATTGATGTAAACACCATAGCCCTCAAACAATGAGGTACCATTGCATGGCATGGCAGAGGTAAAGGGACTCAGCCTGGTGCCCTCTCCATTTCTTGCTATGTAGAGAGGCCTTTTCTCTTAATGTCCTGGGAACAGTTTACCAAATGTAAGGCAAGTGAAATGCTCCAAAGACCACACCTCTAATCATACTCGGGGAGCCCCCTGAGATGAATCAGTGAGGAGTCCCTCAGTCTGAAACTTGACTGAGACAAACCTGAAATCTCAAACCTAGCCTCTGTTTCCAGTTTCTAGGACTAGCTAGTTTGAGAATGCATCCTTTATTGGATCTCTCCCTTTCTGATACCTCTTCCTCACTTCCAACACGCACGTCCTGTAACTGTCTCCTAAAAGAACAATGCTTGAACTCTGACTTCAAGGTCTGTTTCTGAAGAAAATGAAACTAAGGCTTGTCAGGTTTTCTGGCAAAAACCCTGTGGTGGTTATTCTTGGTTGTCAACTTGACTATCTCTGGAATGAACTACAATCCAGAAATGAAGGGTACACCTGTGATCTAGATCT